CACCTGACAAGTGCTCAGTAAACATGGGCTGCATTTTATTGAGATGAGAGATAAATACAATGCTCTCACCTTCTTTTCCTTCCTTCCCCCTTTGTTTCCATGTGCCAGTTTCTAGGGTGGTCTTGAGCTAAACAAATAGTACATGCACACGGTTACAGCCTCCTGCAGTTGGCTGAGGGTTGGAGCAGTGGAAAGAGAGACAGGCTGGGCAGTGGACATCTGGACCCGGGCCAGTCTCTGCCTCTGACCAATCATGTGACCCGGGGCAAGTCCCTTCTCCGAACCAGCGTTCCCATCTGAAAAAGGGCAGGCTGGGTCGCTTCTCACCCAAGATGAGCTAAGCATTCAGACAAAGTAGTCCAGAGGCGGCAGAGTATGTGCATGCAGGGCCGGGCAGGTAACTGCAGGTGAGTGTAAGACATCAAGGAGGCCCCGCAGGGAGAGGGGTGGTGAGCACACAACCCTGCAAAGCAGGTGGCCACCTCCCACCAGGCAGGAGCGCAAGCTATCAAGACCTCAGGGTCCTCAGTAGAAGCCGGCGATCTGCTCCGGCGACGCTGGTGGGACAGCTCAACCTTTCTGTGATCATGCCGAGCAAACAAAAACTCTTCTGCCAGCTTGGTCACAAGGAGGCCTTTTGCAGACCTGGACCAATGTACCTGCTGATCTCTGCCTAGCACCAGAGACCCTGGGCTCAAAGGTTAAAGCCCAGATTTAGGGAGCAGAAAGAGGAGGGAGGCCTGCTTAATAACTTATCCAGAAAGGAGGCATCCCACCCAGCTCTCCTGGGACAACAGGATTGGGGCGGTGTGTGCCCACCTCTGAGGTCACAGCCCCACCTACCAACCATAACATCAGACAAAGCTCTCGGAGAGCCAGGGGATGGGAACCACGGCAGCTATGAGTTTCATTGGTTTTTCGCTTCGAAATATAGCACAGAGACTAAAAACAACGAACCCGCAAGTGCTTTTTGAACCTCCTGTGTGCAGAGTTCTGAGAGTACGGAAGCAGCACAGACCCACTTCCTGCCCGTAAGGAGATGACACTCTATCTCACCCACTCCAAGCCAACCCTAAGTCCGTACTGTGCGCTTGCATTCCGCCTGGGGGGAGCAAGAAGGAGCAGTCAGCCGGGCCTCTGTTCCCCGGGGTGCACACGTTGCAGCAGAGAGCTGTATACAAACAATGACGCTGAGATGCCTGGCAGTAGTAACAGCCCTAATAGAAATTCAAACGGCATCCAAATTTGGAACGCTTCAAGAATTTGCACAATTTGTTAGGCTGCCATCATCTTACGTTCTTGTCCCTGGGCACATGCCTGCAGGCAGAGGTGAGGCAGCTCAGATGCTCCCTAAACTTGGGGCTGGTGTGTGTGTGTGTGTGTGTGTGTGTGTGTGTGTGTGTGTGTGGTGGGGGATGGGTAGTGGGGGGAGTGGGAGGGGGACTAGAGAAGTCAACCCAAGGGGCTCCTAAGCTGCAGCTATTTCACTACTTGGACAATCGAGGCCACCCTGGAACCATCTCTCCATCTGACCTGGCCGCCTTCTCACAATCGCTTTTTTCTCTTCTTCCGTCTCTGTCCCTCCCTTGTGCCCCCTCCTCCAATGCCCTCCCCTGCTTCTGCCCCCACTGTTTGTCTCTGTGCCCCCACCCCCTGCCTGGCTCACACAGGCACCTCCGTCAGCCTCCTCGCCGTGGTGGTGATTGTGTGTGGCGTGGCCCTGGTGGCAGTTTTTCTCTTTCTCTTTTGGAAGCTGTGCTGGATGCCCTGGAGAAGCAAGGAGGCCCCCAGCCCCTCTTCTGCTAACCCCAACTTGGAGGCCCTCCAGAGCCCCAGCTCCAGAGGCAACATGGCGGACAAGCTGAAAGACCCCAGCACGCTGGGCTTCCTGGAGGCTGCGGTCAAGATCAGCCACACCTCCCCCGACATTCCCGCCGAGGTGCAGATGTCGGTCAAGGAGCACATCATGCGGCACACGAGGCTGCAGCGGCAGACCACAGAGCCGGCCTCGTCCACCAGGTGCGCTGGGGTTCTGCCCGTGCCAGGAACAGCCTCCTGAAACCTGGCGCGTGTGCTGGGACAGACGCTGTACTTTAGGAGGAAAGGGGTGGGGGACAGCTAGAAGGTGGACCCCAGGAAAGACTGCAGAAAGAGGAACTTTTATGGGGCACACTATGCAGGTGGGACATGGGTGGGCATGTAGGGTGTTCTGGGGTTGGAAAGGCTTATGGCGGCAGGAAGGGAATAGGCAAAGGCCGGGAGGCATCGATGTTCCTGGTGTTAAGGCCTATGCCAGTAGACCACGTGGCTAGAAGCTGCAGTGGAGGAGACAATGCGAGAGATACCGGCATTTTGGGAATGAGGACCTGCTCAAAACCATCCACAGAACGACCCCCCTCTCCCCTAAAACCAAAGCTCCACTCCACGGGGTCCCAGCACCCCTGCAGGGCTGAGTAGAACTGCCCCTCGGGTCTTCTGAGACTGTCAGGGTTGGTGGGAGCAGACAGCCTCGTCTCTCTCCCATGGACCAGCTGGTGGGTTTCAACCACCCACCTTGTGGTTGGCAGCCCAACACATAACCCACTTTGCCACCAGTGCACCTCCCCTGCACCACTCACAGCCACGGAGTCCATACAGATGCACAGCGGCCCCACAGAGACGCTGGAGGGTAGAGATGAACTGGCTCTTTGGATTTCTAAGGCTGTAAAGTTTTACAGGTGCAGAAAGCTTTACCTTTCTCCCTTAGTGGGTAGTGGGTCCACACTGCCAACTGTACCAGGGCTCCCTCCCCTATGTGACAGCTATTGTCTACGGGGCATTCTTTAACTACCAAAGCGAAAGGTAAAAATACACCTAATGACAAAAACCTAAAGTCAGAAACACTTTGCAAAGCCGTGGTGCATACATGCGTGGGACACTGTGCTTACGGACTGGGTGTGGATTCCTGGGTTCCGGCAGTGGCTCCCCAGAGCCCCAGCCAGAGGGAAGGGGAGCCTGGCCCTCAGTGAGGAGGTCAGGAATGAAGGTGCTGCCCCCCCCCCCACACCCATGGACAGAGCTTGTCACGTGACCTCGGGCAACTTGCTCACCTTCTCAACGTTTCCTTTTTCTCAACGGTGAGGCAGGACCGACAGCTCTCCTGAGGTTGTGGCCAGGAGCCTGTGAGAAAACATTGGGTAATAATGAAGGCTGACCCATCCTCTGGTGACACACCTCATTACACTCCCGTCCCTGTTCTCAGCACTTTACAGGGGCTCATTCATTGCATCCTCACAGCCGTCGTATGAAGCTGAACTCAGAACTTACACCACTCTTCCTTTTATAGCACAGAGAGGTTTCCTAACTGCCCCCTTCCCCTACCCCCACCCCCACCCCCAGGGTGCCTATCCAGAACATGGCATAAGCAAAATTTCCCCATACCGTCTGACTCCAGAGCCCCAGGTCCTAACCAGTCCAGTGCCTGACCTATGGGGATTGCTCCCGAGATGCCCACTACAGGCCTCCCCGGTGTGCAGATTGGCGATGTGATTGGCCACTGAAAGGTTGGAGGCTCATGCCCACTTGGGGGTGCTTAGGAAGAAAGCCCTGGTGATGTGGTAGCGAAATGATAGTGACGAAGTAGCAAACCAAATAATTTTATGGTTGGGGGGTCACCACCACACAAGGAACTTCATGAAAGGGTCGCGGCAGGAGGAAGGTGGAGAACCACTGCTCCTAGGGAAGAACCTAGAAGGCAGACGGCAGCAGACAGGAATAACGGTGATCATACCAATGACTACCATCGATCGAACTCCCTGTGTCCCAGGCACCGCTCCAAAGTATATTACAAATTAGAAGGCATGTGATCCTCCCAGCAGAGAGCCCCGGTAGGATTCTGGCTCAGCCCTCTGCTGCTAGCCCAAATGTCAGTGGTTCCAGCCCCTCCCCTGACCCACCCCCACTCCCCCAAACTGTTCCACAGTAGAAAAGACCCGGTGATTGGCTCCCATAGAGCGGATGGTCTTGGAAACCCTGATGGGCAGCACAACTCTGGGACTTAGGGCCCCTGCGAGGTGGCATCTGCTCCACAGCGGGCAGCAACAGAGGGTGGGTGCAGAAGGGTCAAGGAGAGGGAGGACGAGGGGCCTCCAAAGGAGGCAGAGCTGCCAGGGGTGTGTCTCCCTGCAGCCCCCTCCCCGGTCCCTGACCACGCTCTCTCTGCTCCCTCCTCGTCCACCGCCAGGCACACCTCCTTCAAGCGCCACCTGCCGCGACAGATGCACGTCTCCAGCGTTGACTATGGCAACGAGATGCCGCCCGCGGCCGAGCAGCCCACCAGCATTGGCCGCATCAAGCCTGAGCTCTACAAGCAGAAGTCGGTGGACGGAGACGAAGCCCAGTCCGAGGCGGCCAAGAGCTGCGGGAAGATCAACTGCAGCCTCCGCTATGACTACGAGCGCGAGACCCTGATCGTGCGCATCCTGAAGGCCTTCGACCTTCCTGCCAAGGACTTCTGCGGCAGCTCCGACCCCTACGTCAAGATCTACCTCCTGCCCGACCGCAAGTGCAAGCTGCAGACACGGGTGCACCGCAAGACCCTGAACCCCACCTTCGACGAGGACTTCCACTTCCCCGTGCCCTACGAGGAGCTGGCTGACCGCAAGCTGCACCTCAGTGTCTTCGACTTCGACCGCTTCTCTCGCCATGACATGATCGGGGAGGTCATCCTGGACAACCTCTTCGAGGCCTCCGACCTGTCCCGAGAGACCTCCATCTGGAAGGACATCCAGTACGCCACCAGTGTGAGTACAGCCTTGCGCCCGGCCTCTCCAGGGTTTGCAGTTCTGGGGTGGGCTGACTCAGGCCCCCCATCCCAGCCCTTCATGCCGCCAGAGACAAATGGTCCTTTGCCTCTCAGGGGGTGAAGGGGACTCTGGAAACTGACCAGTGGGAAGTCCTTGTACTCTGCCCCAAGGGGGCCCGGGTGGGTAGGAAGGAAAGCGAAGTCTTGCCTATTGCTTCTGTCAATGTGCTATAGGATGGATCTCTCTACTGCTGGGCCTCCGGTTTATCACCTACGAAATAATGTGCTATGCCCCTTTGATCATGACTCAGACAGAAGAATCAACTGACGGCGTGGATGTGTTTTAGGAGCTTAGAATACACAGTCAAGAACAGGCCGCCATAGTCAGGACGAATTAGGTTATGTTGCAGTATACTACACACTGCCGGCTATATGTAGGGCAGGGTAGAATTGCCCCTATGGGTTTCTGAGACTATAACTCTTGACAAGAGTAGAGTCATCTTTCTCCCTTGGAATGGCTCCTGGTTTTGAACTGCTGACCTTGTAGTTAGCAGCACAATGCATAACCACGATGCCACCAGGGCTCCGTGCTGCAATAGTAGCAACTAATCCTAGGTGTCTAGTGGTTTAAGGCAACAAAGGCAGGGGGCCTACTCTGCCGTTCTCACTCAGCGATCGGAGCTGGCAGTGGCTTCCTCTTGACACAGTTACCGTGCCAGGTGGAAGAGGACGTGGCAGGTCACTCACTGTTTCTTCAAGTGGCCACATAGAAGTAATACGTGTCACTTCCACTCACAGGTCATCAGCCCAAACAAGACACACGGCCCCTCTGAACAGCCAGGGGCAGGGCCGAGCAAGCCCACCATGTTCCCAGGAGAACCAGAGAAACGTGAGGGACCACACGAATGATTACCATGCAGCGTGCCTGTCTCTTGGCCAGCACACTCAGAACGATGAGGGAGGCAGGCTCGAAAGGAGACCTGGCTCCCCCACACATCCAGGAGGAGGTGCGACCCCTGTTCACCATCCACAGGAATTAGCCAAAGAAGGTTTGCAGGAGCTGAGGCTCAAGGAGACTTTGAGAGGAGGGAGGCCAACGCTTGGCACAGAGAATTAGGGAGGGCACAAGCAGAGCCCTTTGGTCCCGTGCAGATGTCACAAGGAAGAAGCTGTGTAACTGTGCCCTGCAGGTGTAGGTGGTATGCTTCATTCTAAGCCCACTTGGGTAGCTGGGACCCCAGCAGGGGCATTTCCATCCAGCCCCCAGAGCCTTGCAGCTGGTCTCCTGCGTGATCTCTCTCTCTCTCTGGAAAGTTCTCACACCATATCTCTGGGGTAGGGGTGACCTTCTCTGGTCTTTCGCCTCTCTTTAGCAATCAATATCTTAATATCTCTGTGTTGAATTTTGTGACGGGGAGGCTGGCTCTGGTGAGAAAGCGATCGGAATCCTGGTTGGTTTTGAAGAGATCTATGAAGAGAGAGAGCAGAGAGTGAAAGAAAGAAAAAGACAAGAAGAACTTGAGTCACCCCCAGGAAGGCCTGCGCCTGCCCCAGGGAGGGTTTGTGGGACACCCCATTCTCACAGCTGGAGCCGACCCTGGCCAGTTCAGTCACATCTCCCAATGCCTCCGCCCAGTTTGCTTGCCTGAAATGTCACCCCCAAGAACAGCGCAGGCCCCAGAGCCGGCAGACAGGGTGGGCCAACGGGGCGGGCCTGTTACAGCAGCTGGGCGCAGGCCCTGGCCCACGAGCTCTGATCTATAAATCACGCTGAAGTTTACATCTGGCGCAGCTCCTTCCTGGCAGTCTCCTACGGCAGCGACTTCAGCATGGTGACGGGGGATGAAAGCAGCTCTCACCTCCACGCAGGGAGAAGGGAAGGTGAGGCCCGGGGCCAGAGCCCCTGTGGCCTCCTGGGTCCCTCACCAGAATTCCCACATCCCTCCCCGCTGCACCAGAGTACAGGATTCCTGGATCTTTCCCTCTCCCTGTTCTCACATCCCCAGAACAGCTGCGCTCCCGCCAGATCATCCCAGCAGCCCTGGACCATCCGCATCATTCTCTCCATTCTCTGTCCGTATCATGACATGCATCCATCCATCCATCCATCCATCCATCTATCCACTTGCCCTAAGCAGAGTTCTGTGCCCCGTGGCACAGGGGGCAGGGGGATGGTAGCTGGGATCAAAGACAGCCTCTCCAACCCATCAAAAGGTACACCCAGACCAGAAGTAACCATGCAGCAGCCAGCACCAAGTCACCTGTGAGGGTGCCAGGACCCTGAGTGTGACCAAAGCCAGGGAAGGTATGGTTGGAAGGCACCATCAAATCAGGCCCGTCCTGCACGCACAATGGAAACGCTGCTTTCCCCCCTGTGCCGTGTGAGTCCAGAAGCTTTGCCGAAACCTCCTTGAGCCCAGAGCAAAGCCGTCATGGACACCCGCCTGGGTGTGGCCCGGCAAAAGGTCTGCTTGCTGCCCTTGAATGGAGCCTGGTTGCCCGGCGGGGGGCGGGGGGTGGGAGTGGGGGGGTGATGGGGGGGGAGGCTACTACCACAAAAGCTCAAGGATCTGCTTCTGAGAAAACCAACCCATGAAAACCCCCGGGTGCAGCCCATTCTGCTGGGACACCCAAGGGGTCCCCAGGGCTCAAACCAGTGCAACAGCAGCTGGCTTTTCTCTGGAGGAGGGTGGAGGAGCATTGGGACCTGACAGGGCCAGAGGAGACGTTCCAGCCGGGCCCAGGACTCTGCCAGGCTTATGGCCTGGCTAGGCTTGCAGTGTGTCTGAAATGAAAGTGCCTTCTCAGCCAAGGCCTCTCGGGGCCTCTGCCAGCAACCTCATGGCAGGCAGGGCCCTCCAGAGCCAGGCTCCTGACCCTGGCCCTGGCCAGGGAGGCAGGGAAAGGCTGAGCTGTGGGGGTGGCAAGGGAAACAAGAAGGCTGATGCATTTACCTGTTTTGGTCTTTGTGTGTGTGCTGACTCTAAAATCTCAATTATTTGGGCACTGGGAGTCCCTAGCCAGCCGTCCCTGGAAATGACTGAGCCCTCGGTGTAGGTGGAGTCCAATAGCCCGTGCAGTGGGGACTGCCGGCAGCCAACTCCTGGAGGTCCTGCATGCCAGATTCTGTGCTGGAAGCCTGCTCTGGACCCCAGCTGCCGGGTCCCAGACCCCCAAGCAGCTCCTTCTCCCACCCACGCTGATTCCGTACGTGCCCGGCCAGTCCTGCCTCCTGCCTCTTTGCTCACGTGGGCCCCTCTATTAGGCAGGCCTCTCCCACCGTTCTGTCTGGCACACATCAATCCGCCTCTCCAAGCTTACCTGACATCTTCCACTGTGTGGCTTTCCAGTCTCACCGCAATGGCAGGCTCTCAATTTCCTCTGCCTAGTCCTTGGCAAGTCTGCCTCGGAAGAGGTACAGCCAGGATGTTCTTTTGAAAGTGAGGATTGGTGAGACTTTGTCTCAACATTCTTTGGACATGTTATCAAGTAGGCCCTGTTCCTGGAGATGGAAATTATGCTTGCGAAAAGAGAGGCCCGGAGGAAAACAAGAGGACTCTCGATAAGATGGATTGACACAATGGCTGCAACAATGGGCTGAGACATAGAACTAATTCGGACACTGGTACAGGGCTGGGCAGTGTCTATTCTGTGGTACATGAGGTCGCTATGAATCAGAACGGACTGGGGGACACCTAACCACAATAACAGCAGCCCCCACCCCAGCTGTATCCTGGATCATATTCTGTTGGTGGTTCAAGAATGGCTCGTCTTATGTCTTTAGGTCGATTCATGGCCCTGGGTAGAGTTTCTGAGGCTATAAATCTTCATGGATAGCCGCATCTTTCTCTAAGGACAGGCTGGTGTGTATGCGATTAGCAGTCTAATGCTTATACTGTAGTGCCACCAGGACTTTGTCTATGTTATGTCTAAGCCCATGCCCATGGCTTCCCCAACCGATTGCTTTGTTTGTCTATGTTATGTCTGTGTTTGTCTGTGTTATGCCCATGTCTACCCAATGCATTTCTATGTTGGGTCTATGTTATGTCTCTGTGTTATGTCTATGTCCATGCCCATGGCTACCCCAACCAATTGCAGTTAAATCCATTTGACTCATGTCAATCTGGTAGGACAGAGTAGACCTGCCCTAAAGGGTTTCTAAGGCTATGATCTTCCAGGAAGCAGACTGCTAGGGGAAGAGGCTGGTGGTTTCGAACCCCTGATCTTTGGGCTAGTAGCTGGACACTTAACCGATGCACCACCAGGGCTCCTCATTCAGAGGTATAGCTCACTGCCATAAATCAGTTCCAACTCACAGCAACCTTGTAAGACAAGGCAGAATGGCCCCTGTGGGTTTCAGAAACTGTTACTCTTTAGGGAAGTAGAAAGCCTCATCATTCTTCCTTGGATCGGCTGGTGGTTTTGAACTGCTGACTATGAGGTTAACAGCCCAACACATGACTGCTACGCTACCAGGGCTCCCGACTCAGAGGCATAGTTCAGGTAATTTTTTTGTGTCTGGAGTGGTGAAGAGACCAGCCAGTGAGATTAGGTGGTCTGGGACCCACCTCGCCCTTACTCTCGTGACAAGAGAGGCAGCTGCAGCTCTGGCAGGTGGGACCAGGCCAGCCGCTTGCTCATGTGGGTTCCCATCTCAGGGTTGCTGTGAAGGAGTAGAGCCTGGGACATCTACTATGTGATCTCACAGCCATAGCTTCACTGAGTCCAGTGGACCCCCTAGATTTCTCAAACAGATGCCTGCAAGTTACCTCCGACTCATGGTGACCCCGTGAAGGTCAGAGCAGAACTGTGTGCCACAGTGTTTTCTGTTTGTTTGTTTGTTTGTTTGTTTGTTTTTAATAAACCATTTTATTGGGGGCTCTTACAGCTCTTATTGCAATCCACACATACATCCTTTATATCAAGCACGTTTGTACATATGTTGCCATAGTCCTCTTCAAAACATTTTCTTTCTATTTGAGCCCTCGGTATCAGCTC